GAGCAGAGAGAGGAGAGGAGACAGGCAAGAGGAGAAGAGTCAAGAAAGAGGAGAGGAGAGAAGAGAGACGAGAGAAGAGAGGAGAGAGGGGAGAGAGAGGAGAGGAGAGAGGATAGAGGATAGAGGGTGGGTAAACCTGCCTTGCTGGTTGAAGTACACGAAAGTGACATTGCAGCAATTGGCAGTCATGCTGCACTTTTGGTTGGCAGGCGCTGCCGTGAAAGTCACGCTTATGTAGACTGTGCACGGTGCATGTAGCGTTGCAGACCTGCAGAGGAGAGACCGTCGGATACTGTCCGAACAAAGTGCATCAAAAAGCTTAGCAGCTCTCTCTCCTTTCCCCTGCTATGGCATGCTGCCTGTAGGCAAAGTCGGGAAGCCAGCAGGTCTAGGCCCCTACCCAGTAACCTTATAGCTTCCAGGTCACTTGCGTTGCTTCGGTCCCGTTCGCAGCCCAGTCAGCTTCCAGCGCGTTCAGCAGCGGCAGCGCATCGGGCGTGGTGGCGCTCATTGTAGCAGCTGCAATTTCGCCCGCTCGCAAGCCGTCTTGGCCTGTCCAGACCGAGGCACCACAATCAGACCTTCATTAAACCACATAAATAAAGGGTCTCGGCCTGCTGTCTGCGAGTAATTAGTGGCGCCAGCACGAACCTGCCATAGGTGCGGTGTCTGTATATATCCATCCGCGAGACCGGCTTCTTTAGAGCCGCGCCCTTTACCTTAAAGAATGTTTTGTTTCGGGGAAATTCTGCGACATGCTGCACATCCTTCCAATCCTGCAGGGCAACAAAGAATTTCCCTGCTTTGCCTTGAGAAACAACGCAGGTGCTCTGCACTTTCTTCCATAACAGAAGCCAGTCAGAAAGGGAGCCTGTCGCATGTGCAGGAGCTGGACCGCATCATCCTCGCGCGCATTGCAGGTATCAGGGTTGAAAGCCTACAGCCGTGAGATGAGAGACCTAAATCAGAAAGGATCCTCACAGTGTGCTGCGTGAGCTGCTCTGAACAAGGAGATGCAGAGGCTCCAAATCACCTGCCACGCAAGTTCATCATGCTTGCTAAGAAAGCTCCAGCCCTAACTTTCACTTCATCACCGCGCAGGAGGCACCAGGCCATGCATTCGTTTGGCCAGCTGGGGGCACAGAGTAATAAGCAATGATTGACTTCGATATCGAACCAAAACGCTACGCGGCAAAGATATGTGGCTTGTCAACAGCTACAGGTAGCCAGGTACCCGCAGTGCACGTATCACACGGTCTAACAAACCACTTGCTATGGCCGCACAAATAGAAAAGGCACTTACCTTGCAGATCTTGCAGTTGTCTCTGGTGCTGGTGCTGGATCTGAAGACACCCTCCTCGGCTCCAGGTGCTTCGGCCTTCTCGATCAAATCAGGTTCCTGGATCTCAAGTTACATTGCCTCATGCTTGGCCACCATCGGCAACCAGCCTCATTGACATTTGCGAGGAGAGGCTCCTTGCAAACTGTACTTCCAACACTTTGACTTTGCTGCCCATGGAAATCGTGCATGGTCGAGCTAATCTGAAGATCTCAAAGAGCCCTATACCCAAACCGACTCATGAGGATCTTGATCTGAATGCCCCCCCAAGGGAAGTCAAGACCGTGCGCTTTCTGCAGAGATCTGTGCTCGGGCGAGCGCCAGGACTGTTAGCCCTCACCCTCCGTGCCCTCACCTGCCTCCCCAGGCCTCCCCTTCTGATCCTATCTCGAGCGGCACCAGAGACACGCACGGGCCCGGCACGCAGCGAAAGTCGGCCAAATGATGGTAGGTAGGGTAGGGTGCAGATGTTTCCGTAGCTCTGCATGCTGATGCATGCATGGCGTCACAGACCCTTTCCAAAACAAAAAACTGAACGTGAATGTTCCTTGCTCTGTACACTTATGTTGGTGCACAAGCGCCACCCAGATGCAGGCCGTCCTTGAGTGTTCCACCAGCCTGGCAGAAAGCCAAATAATAGCGAGATGGAATGTCGTGAGATGTCGGTGATGATGGGCCTTGCGACTTTTGCGGCAGAAGGAGAGCACAAGGCCGGCCAGCCTTGAGCGCGTTTCTGGAACCGTTCTTAGCTGTCTTTGGGCAGCTTTGGCATCTGAGGCAACAGCCCTACCATGGTACCGCCCACTGCCATGTCTCAGAGGCACGAGCTCAGCTCAGAAGTCTCTCCACAAAATGCCAAGGCCCGGACAAACGTAGCGCTCATGAGATGTAGCCTTGCATCACAAATTTGACAAAATTTCAGAATACATGTTCAGACTGTTAGGCATTTGTTGTATTCGAATTGCTGGGTTGGCCCCTAAAACCCGTTGAAAAATATTAGTATTTAGGGTCCCTTATTAAAGCCATTAGGGAAAATATTGAATATCCCAGGGGCCTACCCATATTGGGCCTGGATCTGCAAGCCATTGAGCATCTGCATCTGCATGAAACGCACCTGTCAAAGGTGTGAGCCAATTGGCTACAAGTGCTACAAGCAAGCACCTCAACAGTGAAATCAAACATCGAGCCTTTTCGTGAGCAATCTTTGCTTCCAGTTGCTTGACCTTCAAGCATATCATCCCTCTGCAAGGCATCCCACCCAAGAAGGAGGCAACGCCCTCTGACAAGCACTATACATGAATGCAGGCTGCGAAGCTCGCAAAGGTTGCACAAGCTGGCCAGCATCAACAAAAGTGATCATCGTGCCTATTGAAGCATGACTTCACTGAACATCGTGGGGATTCAACTCCATCCAAACCTGTTACGTGCTAGCGTAGCTAAAGCTCAGCCCGGAAGTGGTTCAGAACAGCAGCACACCAGATGGAGAGCAAACGAATGCGCTGACGATGGCTCTCCGCCAGGTCAGTTAGGAGTAGCTGTCCAACTACATCTTGCAAGTAGTGTTCCAATTTTTTTCGTTGCTGCCACCGGCCGCGCCACTGAATGCGCCCAATGTCCTCCGCGAACTAATACATCCAAGTGGCGCCAGAACCTCTGAGGCATTTAGGAGTTATGCTTCCAGCTGTGTCTCCAGTGGAACCCCCAGGCGGTTAAAGACAGCATCCCACCGGCGTCTGAAAACGTTGGGAAAGCAGTCGAAAAGCGCAATCGAAGGCGGATAGCGACCGAAAAGCTTATCCAGAAACCAAACCGCTGTTGCATCCGAAATCTTCGCATGTTGCCGCTTCATGAAGCGTTTAGTCCTTCCCCCCAAAATGCGAACATATGCCAGCGGAAGGTCTGTCAACAAATCACGAGGGAGGATGAGGTTACGCCTCCTCAAAAGGGCCACTTCCAAAGTAAAGCAACAGTGACAGCAGCCTTAAACACCGAAACAGGTATGACCATGCTTCTCTCCACAGGCTCCTTTTCTAGGCTCCCCTTCTTCCCAGCGCGAAAGCACGGCCCAAGCAGCCGCGAAGAAAGTGCGGTAATGCTTGAAGCGGTCACAACAAGCATTTATGGTCTCAAAAAACACGTACTTGGGGGAACCATTATAAAACAGGAGCTTTCCGAAAGCCGTGACAGTCCAGTGGCGCAGATTTGCGCGAAATCACAGCCCAGCTCATTGCCGACCACCGGCCAAATTCTGCATAGAATTGAGATCTGCGAGACGCCGCCACGGGTATCAAACCGCCCGTGATGTCCAAGTCCACCTGCTCACGCCGAGTTGTCGAGGCCCGGCGGGGGCGAGGCATCCTGCACCAACACCAGGAAAAGGATGCTCAGGCGGGCCCATCGACCAGTGGTGCCAGTCAAGTCATCGGCCAGCTTGACTGCATTCAAGTATCGGTGATATCCACGCAGAAAACGCAGAAAGCGACTTAGCCAAACTGGGGAAAGCTCAAGGGGATCGGGTCGTCAGCAACGTCGTCGTGTGTCCCTACATGGAAGTGAGCAGGATACAAGTTACCCCCCAAAATGTAGGAAAGACAGGTGCTGAGGCAATAATTCAAATTGGCACTGCTTGAGCGTCCCTTGCTGTTGCAACCAATGACAACTCTGCTGTCCGACAAAACCCCAAATTGTCGAGAAGGACTAGTCTTAGCCACATGTTTGATGAAGCTCCGGTATGACAGCTCCTCATTGATGTTAATGCGGTTGACCTCCTTGAAGCTATACTGACTGAGAGTTTTCCAAGGCAGACAACACCCCGAATCAGCTACCCAAGGAGGAGGCTGGTGAGCAGGACGGATGTGACTAGACTCGTCATGTTTCAACTTGTCAATGCACAGCTGCTGCAACTCAAGAACTCTGCGGCACACTGGAAGCCGGTAGGTGCCCGATAATCTGCACAGAGGCTCACCTACTTGCGGAAGTCGTCCAAACACAGCTCAAGCAATTGGGCCTGCAAAGGTTGGTGAATTGTTTGACGCTTTCCTGAGTGAAGGAACTCTCAAGGCGCAGGGTCGTTTCCAATGCAAACTTGAATTCGCCAGACTGAGCGTAGCCTCCGAAACAGAAGAGAATCTCGAGTTCTCCGGAATAGGATTGAGGATCTGACGGTCTACTTGCTCCTTCTTGCACACTGCAAATAAACCATAGCAATATTTGTGCTCTGATTGCTCTGCAGGAAGGAGATACAAGCTGTCTACTGCGTCCCACTTCCGGTAGAGCTCGAACTGCTTATCACGGCAAGCTTGCACACTAGCAATCCGAGGTCTGGCCCAGTCAACTTCAGCTTCCCTGAAAACCCGAGGGTCGCGAAGTGCTTCCCGTGATAAAGGATCAGCTAAAAACTTCTCGGCCTTGAAAGACGGGGGCTCCTCGAACTTAAGGCTGGCAGGTTCAATACGCTTATATGCGTTGACTGGTCCAGCTCGGCCCGAATCATCGCAACGGTCAGAGTGAGGTTGCTCAGCTGGAGCTGCGTGCTTCGTAGTGCCTGAGCGAGGCTTGCTGCACGGTTGCAAATCTGAAAACAAACGCTGGCTCGCGACGCGAAGCCATCTTTGATGGAGTCAAACTGCTGGACTGAATGGTCAAGCCCGCGTTGAGGCCCACGGCCCTAGCGGATCCAAGCGCAGGCCACGCCTTCTAACCTGTCAATCATTGCTCGCTGGCAGGTAGAAGGGGGCGGCAAAATTCGTCAATCTGGTTCTCAGAGCATCATCCAGCTCATGAGGAAAAATCTGAGGCAGGAACCAGTCTGACAATGTCAGGCCGTGCTCTCTTCGCCAGCGCCCTTTTGGCCGCGATGTTTGCGGCCACGTCCTTTGTTGGGCAGTTCGTCTGGGTTCACCTGCGGCGTGGGGCATTCTGTCCATGCCCTTTGTTGGTTCGCTCGGCGATCAAGTCCGCGTCCCGGAGGTATGCCAAGTTCGCTGTTACCCAGCGAGGGTCTGCCAGCATCCTGCGCGGGACTTTGCATCTCGGAGCCTTGCGTTGCTCCACCAGTGCAAAGGGAGGATCTGCCCGTCCTATCAAGAGCCATCCCAGACGAGTATGGCCCTGTTCGTTCGCCACCTGCTCTGCGAAGACCAGACCCAAGGCTGTCAACGACACCATCTCCTGAGCCTGCCCCTTCTCCGCAGCCCCCCAGCACTCCGCCAAGAAGAAGGAGAAGTAGGTCAGTGTCCGACACGAGCCTATAGGGAACAGTCTCCAAGCGCAGGCACATGTCGCGAGGTTCCAAGGCCGCCACATCCTTGCGCCGAGCCGCTGCCAAACGTTTGCGGACCTTCGCAACAACCTTCTCGGGATGGGCTGCGAACTGCTCCAAAGAAGCTCCTCCTCGCTCGATCCCGTGCCGCCCAGGAGGTTCTGCAAAGGGTCCGCTTGCCTCCTCCTCAAAGTAGCGAGTTGACCCAAGATCTTGGTCTGCTGGGACAGGAGGTTGGCCAACAAACTTGCCTCTCCCCAGGTGCCCTTGAGCTCGGCGTCTTCCTCCGTCCTGACCCAGCCTTTCTTCCAGGAGCTTCCCCATTCAGGAATGTCTCCAAGGCCTCGAGCACCCTTACGCGAGCTGGCCACACAGACTCCAAGCGAACGGCGCCGAAGGCAATTCTCTCGTTGCCAGACACGAACTCGAGAGACAAGGCTGAAATTTCTGAAGCCTGCACATTGATGATGAGGACCGGCAGCGTCTTCTTCAGCTCCCGCCCGCGCAAGCCAACAGCTACGACGCTGGGGGTGGTCCAGGGCCCGAGCACGTCGGTGTACTCGCTCAAAACGGCCTGATCCAATTCTTCCGCTGCAATGGCTTCCTGAGGCAAGCATAGAAGGAGTCCTGTAGGACATGCTTTGATAATGCAAGCCTGGCTGCATCTTCCCTTCCTAGTGTACCACAACTTTGTGTACCCGCTCAAATCCACGGCCGTCTGAAAGTCACCCAGATAAAGACAGATCTCCCTCAGTCATTGCTCCTGCCTACGGGGCAAGCCGTGAAGTCCTGCACCAAAGCAGTAAGCCTAGGCCTGCGAAGCAAATCCGTGGGATACTGAATCAGGGTTCCAGGTGCCTCCAGGTCCAATTTGACGTAGCTGAAGTACACGCTGCAGCTGAAAGTAACGAAGGGCTTGTGGATGGACTCGGCAAGGAGAACCGCGTGCAGTGACGGTGTCAGACGCGTAGCACTCGACCTCGCCCCTGATGATCACAGCGGCCTCGCGTCCTTTCCGATAGGCAGCTGTCACTCGCTCCTCTCCAGATCCGCGTGCCCCTGAGCGCAGGTTGCGGCCCAAGCGAAGAACGGAAGGAGGGCATTCAACGGAAGTGGTCCGATGTGCCCAAGCCAGATGTCCAGCAGCTCGATCTCCAGCGCCGGTGGAGGTAGAAGCAGATGTTGAAGGTTGAACAAGAGGTTGGGAAAGCTGGCCGCCAGGCGGGCGACTAACAGCCGAAACAGAGGTACTGGCCCTCTCGCCTCCGTAAACCACGGTGGCGTTGATGGTCAGGTTTCGGACCTGAGCATCCAGGAGTCTGAGGTCAATCCCAGAAGGGTCACTGCTCATGCACACCTCTGTAGCGAGCAAGTCCTCCCCCTGTGCCCGTCGCAGGGGAGGTGTAGCTCTCTGACAAAAGCACCCTAAATATTTCGTGCCGTTCGGCTCAAGAGTAGCCCCACCAGCCCGGCTCCAGCAATGAAACCACAAGCCCAGCACAAAGCGCAGGCAAGAATGAAGTCGCTAGAGCTATGGCCGGCACAGCCTACCCAACCAAGCAAAAGGGACCACAATTCAGGCCTGTCCCACATGAACCCAAAAGCTTTGGCATGCAACGGTCGCGAGAATTCATGCTAGTCAGGACCATAGGAATACTAGGAATCCATGGTTGCAACGCAACGGTCCGCACTTACACACTTTTCTTGGGCAAGCACCGTCGCATTATGCTCAGCTCGATTGGCCAAGGCCTTGGTTGCAAGTTCCCTCGCCAGTCTGCCCGAGAGCACGAGACAAGATCCGCGCCATCTCCGCAGAAGCTCGCTTCTTCGCCTTGTCGGGAAAGGCAAAAGGAAAGGAAAGACAAGAGGATAAGAGTGCTCCTACAGTCAAATGCCTCCTCCTTGTCATCGGGATCCTGTGTCTTGCTTGCAGCTTCTGCCGCCGCCGTGGCCCTTACCGTAAAGTATCTCTCTCGAAGAGTTGCGCAGCGTGTTCCCTGAATCCAGGAGTCCCTGCCTGGCCATATGAAGTTGTGCATCTCGCTCGTCCTTCTCTGCAAACTCGCGCTCCTTCCAATTTGAGATGAGAGCTCCAGAACTCCATCTGCACAGCGCAGATGGAACTCCTTCATCTCGGCTTCCTTTGCTGCATCCAACGCCGCTCTGCAAGGAAGCCAGGGAGCAAAAGTTTGGATCACTGCTGTCCCATGTAAAAACATGCAGGGTAGACGTAGATGGAACGGTGAGGGGGCCTCAGTGATCGCAGCGGTTGTTGAGGCGTCCTTGTGTCCTGTTGTTGCTCGGACTGAACCCTCAGAGCTGGGCTGGATGACACATGACCTCAATTGCAATACTGGCACTTTGCAGGCAATTGAGCTGAGGCAGCCAAGGAAGTAAGGAAGTGTCTGTGCACCGGATTGACAGTGGCCGGTGCCGGGCCTTAGTCGCCACACTTTACAAATTTGTCGCCCAATCTTGTACGAGGCTGAGGTAGCAACTTCCTCGTAGCCCCTGCGCAAGCGTTCAATTGTGCTGTTGGAGTGCCACAAGCCGAAGAAATCCACCTTGGCAGCTTCTGCAGCCTTCTGCGAGGCTACCCGTTCATCTTCACGGGCTTCTGCCAGTTCCTGCTAGTCTGGGGCATCATCCAGCCGAAGGGAAAGCCGAACGAGCCTTGCGTGCAAGCTCTTCTCTTCGTTGAGCAGCCTCAGCCTTAGGAAGTGACAATCAGCGAAGGGCCTCAAAGACGACAAGCAGGCTCACCTTCGCTGACTCGACCCGGAATAAGAGCAGCGCCATCGCCTGTACCCTCTTCTCCTCTGAAGGATCCATGTCACCCCATCCTGAACAAATCTCCAAAAGAATTCAGATGTCCTATGAATTTGCAGGCTTGGCCTGTTGCCCAGTCGAGCATCTCAACAGGCAGGGCCGGCGCATCCACCTCATGGTCACAGTGGAGAAGAGAGGGATGTGCATTCATGGGAACTGTCTATTTGGGGCAGCGATCCCTATTGTTTCTTTCCACCCAGATGGTTGCTTTCTGCCTGCGACGCCAACTCTTCCTTCTGACAGAGCTGAGAAACGCACTGATTTCCCACTGGCAATCACAGTAACAATTTCAGCGAGGGCGCAAAGCTTCAGCCTGACAGCTGAAAAGACAAACTTGAAAGGACTGCTCCCAGGTCAGCACACAAGTCCACACTTCCTTAGCACGAGGCAACATCCTTGCCGCCATGTCCTCAGGGAATAAGCTGACCTTGGCAAACACGCTTCTAGGACAGCCACAAAGTCTCCGACATGTACAAGTTCAAGCGGCTTAGCCAGCTCCAAAGTTAGGCAACCCGCACAAGCGGCTACAGTGTGAGATGCTTGAGCCCTGCAGCTGGCAGCGCAAGCGAGATCAGGCCAAGGCACACCACTCAACTTGCATCAGTAGCCACGCCAAAGATCACCGCAAGCTGCAAAAAGCATCAGGGTTCTCTCCAGCTTCTCGGACGACAAAAAGCACCAAGGTGAAGCTGCTTGGGCTGCTGTCGGGCGTAGGGCGGTAGCGTCAATTGCTGCCTTCATACGAATGACACAACATAACTAACATAACCCAACCCCTGGAATCTCCCGTTTCGCCAACTGCCGTCAGTCTCAAGCCAATAACATTCCATTTGCAGCTCCCTCGGTGCAAAAAAATGCGGTGCATTTGCAGCATACACACAGACACCATGAGGAAAACAGTTTAATGAGACAGTTAGCGTACCGTTCATACAAGATGCTCGCCGCTGATCGTCTGACTTTCTGGTTCGCCGCAACTTCTTCTGGCATCACGTACGTCATTCCAAGCATTCAAACCGCTCATGTTTCTATTGTTTTGTGACCTCTGTTTGATCTTCTGTGATTCTTTCACTTGCTTGCGGAGTTTGCCACAACGTCGCAAGAATGGAAGGATCAGATCACTTCCACTGGAATGGTTTTAGCCGCATGCACTAGGCAGTCGAGCAAGGTCTGCTCGCGTCAGCTCGTCTCAGTGTGACGTGAGTGGGCCTTTCTGGAAAGCATGGCGGCAAGCCCAGGGCTTCAGCGGACCTGTGTCCGAGATGCAGGAGGAAACGCGTTGCAAACTGGCGGGTGCAGGCTTCAGCTTGAAATTGGCTAGAAATGACACAAAAGCCGAGGTAGTGGCGTGTATGCCTTTCACACCCGAGTGCTTATGGTATTCCTGCACTGCAGCCTGTATCATCAACTTTTGCGAAGTCACTGGCGCGATGCACGAAGTCACAGCTTCGCCTCATGCGCTTCCTGTCTCAGGTCCAGCACCTTGACAGTCTGGAACTAAGAACAAAAAACCGAGAGAGAAAGCTTGTGTACACTTTTCATGCCTTGCCTGCTGCAGTTCCTTGTAATGGCCTTTCGTCCGGTGACCAAAGAGAGGCGGAGGCTGCAAGCATGCACAAGCTGCAGCTGTGAAAATACTACTCTCAGGACAGACGACAGGCGCAGCATCTTGCGAGTGCCGAGGTCCTCACAGTTGGTATTAACCCGGCCAAAGCCAGCAGTTGCCTTGCGGCTACACCGGCTCCGGCTACATTCGCATGCAACCCTCCCATGGCCTCGTTCCTGGGTTGAATTGCGCACCAACACCGAGCCAGAACTGCCAGGGATTGCCAGGCTTGCAAGGGAAACTTCGGTATGCCGCGCTGCCTTCACTCTGGAGAAGCGAAGCCTGATCTCCTTGATGTTGGATTTAACCTGGAAAGTAGCTCTGGGACAGGTCAAGATGCATGCATTGCAGGACCAGAATCTTCAGGCCTTCGGAGCATAGCTGCCTAGAACCTGCACAAATTGGAGCAAAATCTACGACAGCTGTGGCAACAATCGGCCTCCATGTGCTTCCCGTTCTGTGGGTCACGCTGATTGCAAGCCTTGGTGCGCAGCACCGCAACACGTGAGGAGCATGGAGTCAGGATGATGGAAAAGGAAGGGACCACGAGCTTGAAGAACCTGAATGACTGTGCACCGGCATTGCGCAAACTCTTGACTCCCCCAACATCATGGCAGACCGACCGACCCGCTTGGAATCCGGACCGGCGTCCCCTCGTTCCGACAACTTGCTGCCGAATTTTGGGCGGACCGCGCTCCTGGCAATCCGGTGCAGATCAAGAGAGTGGCTGACAGCCGCAAGAAGCCCGGACAGGTGTTGCCTTGGAATAGAAAGGCAGAAACCTTGGCATGAGCGAAGGGAATGGCGATCGAAGTAATCACTCACTTGTCGATCATTTTGGGTCACCGCATCTTCCTCACAAGACATGTCGTCGATCTGAACATTGCTCACTGGCAGCGAAATTGCTACATCAACGGCTGCACTTTGGTGGTTCCCTGCCAGCACTACACCTTCGAAATCTTCCGTAGGTCTGCACTGAAACAGTGGTGATGAAAGGAGTGCTCAGGAGATGTGCTAAGACTTGCGAGGCCCAAACAAAAACATCTGACTCTTTTACTTCGAGCGTCCCCATTCTGAAATCGATTTCAGCATATTTGTGATGCTGGTGGTGCTAGTGGTGCTGGTGGTGGCGGCGGCATTAATCCCAATAGCATTCAACCCAGAGACACCCACATGAAGCCACAGAGCCATGAGGTCAAGGAAAACAAGGAAGCGCCAAAACCCGACCAGCCAGTGCTCCCAGAAGCCAAGTGAGCCAAGTGAGCCCTTCCAGAAAACTGACAGATCAAAGAAAAGACCATACGGGCAAAATCAAAGACCCCGAAAGAGAGCATTCCCTAAAGTCCACTGGAAGCAGATGTTTCTGGATTCCTTGCCTAGGGCTCCTGATTCAGTAGGCAACATCACAAAGAAAGTCTCTTGCAGCTCCAAGACCAGTCCGCTTCGCATGACTTTAAACCTTGTGAACAGCAGCACTGCAGCCAGTTTGCAGCTAATACAAGGAACAAATGCTTCACGTTCTTGAGAATGAAGCGGCTCTTTTGCATGGGAATCCGGGCAAACACTCGCGACATCTAACCTAGATCTTCACTTTGGGGAACGAGAAGCAACACACACTTGCAAATCTAATGTCTGCGGCTTAAGACTTGGAACCATTGAAAACCGTGGTTTACGGTGAGACAGAGCCTGTGCGAACATGCCTATGCTTTGCAGTGAGCTTCAGACTGGTCGATCTCCCTGTCCTTTACAACTCTATGTTCTACGTACAACATGCCCCTGCGCACAGGATCGCACAGGGCTAAGATGGGCAGGTTTGTGCAGTTTGTGCTCAGCACATCATCATAAGCAGATGCATAGGCAGAGCAAAGACAAAAAAAACAGCTTGCAAAATGAACTCTGAGCATTTGTCAGGAGCTCAAAGGGAAAAAGTGGGCGATAAGCGGCCTCTCGCATCCTATCTGCACGGCAGCTGGTGGACAGGCTTGATTCAACTTCCTAACCTCCAACCTTCCTCTCTGCCTTGCAGGTGAGAGGGCTGCCCCAAGGCGGCCAGTCAACATCAGCTATCTTCCACTAAAATTGCTGCATTTTGGCACGTGCGCCCAAGTATGCCCACATGGCAACATTATCGCCAACTATCCTGCTGACGTCGGCCAAGAAGTTACTTGTGCCTGGACATCTTCGTGCCGGCATGCAGGAAATTCAGAGGGCCATCAAACAGCTGCCTTGCCTCAGCTTTTGTGAAGTGGAGACATGCTCGAACTAAGCATACATCTTTGCACCAGACCATTGGGAGCCTCCCGCGACATCGTCGACCTAGTTGGGGCAACGGTGCGAGTTTGCTTGTAACTGCACTTGCACTCCGTGGCGTTACAATTGACAGAAAAACCAGATCAGAAAGATAAAGTATCGCAGCAAGCCTGTGCTGCATGCGTGAGGGACCGGCAGCATCACCGTTTGCATCACCACTGTGGGATACATTCGAGCACGATTGTTGGGGTCCATCGTGAGGAGAGGGAGAAAAGCGCACAGGCCCTTGCTCAGGGCTGCTTGGCCAATGTCAGGTGCATGGAGGTAGCTGAGGTCTGAGATACGTTTGGATGGCATTGCAAAATTGGCCATCTCATTGCATTTTTTCACTTGGCAATCCGTGTGATCTGAATGGTAGCATCCTCCATAATGCTGTGCAAGATCTGTGGAAAGGCCTGAAGTTGCACGCTGTGAATCTGCGCCTACGGATTAAGAATCCCTCGCAGAGGTCTTGAAGGCAAGAATGTGCCAGTCTTGTTGCTGATGCAAGATGATTTGCATGGCAAAAGAACCACTCTGCCTTTACAAGGCCCTGACGACCCATCGCATCCGCAGCCAACTTGGGGGACGCCCACTGTTGGGCCTGACCTCGGCTGTGAAACTCTCTGAAACGGAGTGGGGAGGGTGGGAACGAAAGAAAGGACGAGTGAGGGAGAGCGAGCGAGCAAGACAGAGACAGAGACGCAGAGAGAAAGAGAAACAGAAAGCCAGAGGGAGCGAGAGACAAGAGGGGGAGGAGACAGAGATAGAAATTCCCCCTCAGGCTTTCGCGCAACCTCACACTGCTCGACCAACGCCACCTGGCACTCACGAGACTCGCTGCGGCTGGCAAGCAGCACACCTGATCTATTGCACCTCGCTGTTTGCTCCTGTGCCTGGCAAAGCCCGTGGCAAAGCAGCATCAAGCGTATGACAAAGACTGGGCAATGCAAAGCTTGTCGGCGCTAGTGCCTCTGGCCATCTTATCTGCATCGGCAGATTGCTGGACCTGTGAAAGTCCAGCTACGCAGCCTGTGCATGCGGGTGTTAACACTGTACCTCGAGCGCCTCCGGAGGCATCTCGTCCAGCTTGCCTTGCTGCAAGCAAGAGGACGGACGACACGCACTCCTGCATGTTGAAGGGCTCAGCCTGCATTGGCTTCCCTGGGCACGGCTTCTTGGCTGGCGGCAGCCTTGGGTGCCATACAAATTTACAGAGGATGTTCAATGGGCAAATCTGCCTCCTGCTTGGCAGCGAAGCCGTCACCCTCAACGGATGCAGTGAACCCAGGAGGTGCTTCAGCCGGTGCAGCTGGAGGAGTCCTTGCAGCATGTTGCGACTGCAACAGCTGGGCATCTTGTGCTAGCCGTGCCTGTCAGTCTCCAGCTCAGGTGGCTGAGATCCAACCTCCACCTTTGCGCAATGCTGCAGCACCCAAGCTACACCTGCCTTGCAATAGCTACCAAGTTGCACAGCCTGGCAATTCCATACCATCTGAGTGCAGCACATCGGGCGGTGCAGGCTTTGTCTCATCAATTTTTTCGATCTTGTCCCTGTGACTGGAAGCTGCAGGCACTGCAGTAGCCAAAGCAGCGACAGTTGTTGACGATAAGTCACTGGCTTCTTTTTTGGGCGCCGCTGGCCACATCGAGAGAAAACCTGTCACATCACAAAAACGGTAGTCACTGAAACTTCTCACTCATGGTAACGACCTAAGAGATCAGTTCATAATCAAATGCCGGGATGACAATCCAGTCCTAGGTTAAGAATCTGAAGATGTGGGACATGTGACATCCTCACTGCGCGTTGCATAGTGCTGGGTTTGCGACCATACAGCGCGGAAGCCCTCGAAATGTGGAGGTGCCTTCATCATCCTGCAGCGAACAAACAACCACGGGTTGAGGGCAAAGCTCCGAAGCATCTGCTCAGTGTTTGCGTGCCTGCTGTCGTCTGTTCATGATGTACTCGTATGTGGTCAAGTTCTGGTGCCTCAATCGTCATGTCTCTTCGACAGCAGGCTACTGACACATGACCGCTCTTGGGGCCCTGCATCAAGTAAACATGTAACAGGACCTGGTTTGAGACCAGTGTCACGAACATTCTCTTCCTGCTGGCCTTCAGCTTGGACTGCCCACCAGCTGCATGTCCAAACACCATAGCGGCACGTTCACAAAAGACATTGCGATCAGAGTCCTTGGCTAAAGCAGCTTAGACGGCATGTCAGTCTAGATCTGACAGACAACTAAGCTAAGCTGTTGACGCAAGGAACCCCTCCATGGACAGTCCGGAGTGCACAGCAGATGCCTGCAATCAAAAAACACGCGTCAAGCGCGCACAGAGAACATGCGTCGTTCCCACCTGCAACCGCGACTCAAAGGCCTGCGGCAACAACGCTCGAGATATGGGTGCATCCCTGCTGATCTGGCTTAGCATGGCTTAGCAATCAAGTGGCCTCATTTGTAAAGAAATCGATAAACTGATACCTGGCCAACAGCTTGCACCAGCCAGGGAAACTCCGCAAGCGAGACCTATGCAGCTTGCATCTCCCTAAGGACGCTGCAGGATTGTGCCGAGCACGACACCTGCAAAGCATTGTAAGTTCAAGGAACACTCTGCAAACTTACCCCGTCCCACCTATCATCACTGCAACAGAGCTGATCGACACGAAGAAGGCGCGGTAGTTATCGCCGCCAATCTCAAGTTGACTCCACAAGAGGACACATGCCAAAATGCAGACCTCTCTGTTGCAACAGGGCCCGGACACAATTGTTGAGCCACATGCAGTGGTGATCAAATGATGACACACACTTGTTGCAGGCCCGACCTCACACTTGGGATCTTTTCAGGAATGATCTCTAATTGCAGATCTTCAAGATGCATAACGGCTGCACTCCCAAGATTCTACGGCAAAAAGGCCCGGGCAGTGCTTGCTGCGCGCCTGCACTGTGGTAGCACACCTGGATCATGCTTGGCAGGATGCATCAGCAAGTCTCCCCATCAGTGCTGAGCTCGGAGCAATCCACAATAAGGCAATTCCTCCAGCTCCTGCCAAATTCCAGCTGCCAGTTTTACCCCTTCTGTCATTGCAGCAGATGCAGAGTCAGGTCGCCTCGTCCTTGAACTCAGCTTCCTTGAATTCATGCAAATTTGCACATAGTACTCATGCAAGGCAAGCATCGCAACTGTGAGCCAAAACGTTGCTCAGCAATTGGTCAATTAAATCTGCTTGTCTAGCAGATGTTCTGGATTCGTTCCCTGCGCAAGGATTCCCAGTTCTGTTTTTGTGAGTTGGTGTCTCGGACCGTCCGGAGCCTGGAAGGGGCAATGTTAGGGCTTGCAAGCTCAAATAGGCACTTGTTGCAAGCAAGAAATCGAGCCCCCTCGCCTTAGGATTTCTGTTTTCAGGGTCGGGGGTCAGGAATTTTGGCTGCAAACATGTAGCATAGGGTGATGCCTCATCGGGTTGCGAGCTTTGAGGCTTTGCTTCTTCGGGTCAGTGGGGGTTTCGCTGCGTTCTGGCGTTGTAAGTACGGCTTCTGCATCATGTCCTTGGGTTGGTGGTGCTTGCGGGGGGGGGGGTTCAAGGAAGGGATTTCAGGTGTTGCAGTGCCCAGTAGGGCTTACCTGTTTGGAGAACGCTGTCCCAAAAAGATGCGCGCGGGTGTGGGCACACACGTGCTTCTCCGTGAGGTTCAAGGCTTCGAATTATGTTTAGGGCTTCAAACCGCTTTTAGGCTTCTGCACCATCGTCAGAACCGCAATGCTTGAGGCTTTGGGGTTGCAAGATTTAGGCAGTCTGATGCGGTCTGGCCTATTGTGGATCTCGAAGGTTGAGGTGTCTCTATTTGAGGTTCAAGGCACGGAACAAAATCACGGGAATGCGTGCTTCCGCGGTCAAGGTCACCAAGAAACATTCAAGTGCTGCTGCAACATGTTCTTGGCTGACTCAACCCTTCTTGGGGTGCTGAGGAATCTGAGAAATACTCGACATGTCTTACCATGGTTGCATGGAAAGCTTGTTTGTCTAGGGGCTCTCTGCTGCTATGACTCCAGCTACCTGTGTTGCTAGCTTGCACTTCATCTTTTGCAAGGGTCTACTGAGAAGGAGTGGTGCAGTGCGGCGGAACAAGGGTGTGGCATGGCAAAGCTTGACAGGACTGGCAGCCGGGAGAAAACATAGCGCTCTACGTTGCTGAGAGCCTGACATCCCTGAGCACATAGGAGTCCATGGGGTTGCAGCTGGTCGCAAGGAACGTTGAGACCACCAGGAACCCAACGCTAGTCAGGAAGAAGCTAGTCACGAGCACCTCAAGAAGCCGCTGCGACTTTCTGTCGCATGGCACAGGTTCACAGTTGCATGCAAGGGCCTGCCACAAAACCGTTTCAATCATGGGGATGCAAAGCACCAAATACCTGTCATCAAGCAGTCTTGTCATCCGAGCACTCCGTTTCCAGTTGATTCTGGGGCTGGTGCACAACAAAGTCTGTTCCAAACACAACCCAGCTGACCACCTCACGAGGCATGCAGTGTGGCTGCTAAGAGACAGAAAATCCTACTGCTTACCTGCAACGGGTGCAGCGGCCAGCGGAAGCCATTGATTCGCACTTCCTCAGATTTCTGCTTATCAAGGTGCCCTGAATGTCTGGTCGGCTTGATGTTGCGAAGCATGACCAAAGGTCCTCCATGCTTTCAGCCATCGTGATGTGTCACCTGAGCTGCAGATCTGGAGGAAGCAAAGCTCAAGATGGCGCACTCCGGCTTGGACAATGGCGCTTTGAAGCACAGCCGTTCTGCTGCAGCCATCGCTGGCTGGGAAAATTCAGCACATGCGCATCTCAGTGCGAGTACTCTGTGTATGTTGTCCTGTAGTCTAGCCTGACTCGCACGTCACGGTCACAGGGTTGGGTGTTGCGCTCAGCTGACATACGGGGCAGGCAAATTTCTTTGCACTTCGGGGGCACTGGAAGCCCTGGCACAAATTGCATTGCAGCTTGAAGCAACATTTCGGATCGAGCAATGTGTCCGCATCATCCCGTTAAGTGCATTGGACGATTTTTCAAAGTCGCCAAGATGGATACATACCAGGGCGCCGATCACACGGATTATACGTGTTTCCCCAAGCCGCCCAGCCTAGATGATGTGGATGGCTGTGACAAAGACAGCTGGGCTTTGGAGGAGCCTTTGCTCAGTCCCATAGTCCTCGTCCCGGTTCCTCTTCCGCGTCGCTCTAATGAATTGGACGCAAACAAGCTTCTCAGAAGGCTCTACCCTACAATCTCAGCACACATGGATGCCAGCACTTGTCACTAATCTTTTGATGGCATTGGACCGTCCGGCCTCGGGTCGTGGTGCCCGTTGGTGGTCCGAGGGGGCTAGCTTTTGCTTCCCCTTGTCAAGGAATTCCCCCTCGGAGGGAAAACCCTGAAAAATCCAGGCCCATGGCAAAGCAAAAGCCAT